CCTGTTCCCAGCTTTTGGGAGCAGGCTGCGACCTCCGGTCAGGCGAGTCGACCTCCGCTTCAGATCCAGAGGTAGAGCTCCTGGAGTCTGAGCCCCCCGAAGACGGTGGGGAGGGTCTGACAGGTGCTTCCTCTCGGTAGTCCTGCGTCTCTGGCAAGGCCTCGTCCGGCTCTGGCTTGGACCCCGACTCACCACCCTGCAATTGTTTCTTGAACCCACCTGAGAACTGCATCTTCCTGGCAATCGGTGATCGGCTCCGAGACAAAGAGTCTCCCCTGTGCACGGGTGCTGGAGGCGGGGTAGGGAGCACCCTGGATTCGCGAGGGTCAGCACCTGACGATGCTTTGGCCTTGAGGCCCTGATTCTTGATCTCGACCGTCCTTGCTTGGTCCTCCTTTTTCTGCTCGAGCTTCTTCTGTAGCTTGACTTTCTTCTCATTCGTGGTAAGCACGGGCTTCGGCTCCATCTTATCCAGACGCTTCCGAGCCCAACGATCTAAGGCGTGGCGATCGAATCCAAAGAAAAGGGGAATTGTCGGCTGAATCTGATTCCCAACCAAATCCAGATCCTGAGAGTGACAGGTGTCCGTGGTGAAAAGAAAGGTAGCCTCGCTGGGCGCAGTACGGTAACAAATGTGAGTCTGGATCACGCCAGACAAAGCCAATGGCTACTGAAGGCGAAGGTGAAGCGGTTGCCGAACCCAATCAAGCATTTCTTGAGCAAGACCCAGACGAAACTTTTTGTCCCGGGAGCCCTGAGGAGAGAATAAGGTGGTCCAGGCATCCTTGTCATACCTGAAAACATATCCCCTATGCGAGCGTGAGTGGGTACGGCTGCCCCCAAAGTTGTCATAGGAGCGATTCTGAATAACCCAATGCTTGCAATATTGAAACAGCCTCGACGAAAAATCTTCTGGATGTCTTTGCATGTGTGAAACCCAACTAATAGCTGAATCCAAATGGAAAATAGCCCATGAAACATCTTTGTATCCCTTGGTTTTGCGATTTCTGCGTAAACTAAACTGTTCGGGAGATTCCCCCGGGAGCCTTTTGAGTTTCAACATGATCCTGATACATTGATTTTGAGCCTTGGTAATCAAATCCGCCGTCGTCTTACAAGGGACCCAGGCAGCACCTCTGGAGCGGATAATCCCCCCCGCCATACAGTTAAGTTTTGAGAGACGTTTAGACATGGGGATCTGCTCGTTGATCAAGAACCTACTGTTAGCCCAAAAGGCTTTGTTGATCTGTGAAATACCCTGCTTGACATCTTCGTGACAGGATCCAGTGGCAGAGAGAATCGGACCCAGCACCTTAGCCTCCGGTACAACAGACCAAGTTTTCCCAAAGGGATCGGACCAATTGTATCCTTGAAAGAAATAGGGGTAGGCCGGAAGGATTTCCCGATCGTCTTTGAGTTTGAGCCGATGTTCATTCCAGAGCTCCGACTCTACCAGTGCGGTCAGAGTTGCAAGGTCTTGTTCCGAGGACGCCACCACGAAGATATTATCCGACCAGCTGAGAAGAGCAATCCTGAAATCGAAGCCCAACTGCTCGCAACGGATAGAGATTCCCAAAGAAGAATGGGTAATTTTCTCCAGGGTGGAGGCGAAACAATCTTCTACGGAAACGCGCGCCAGTATGCATGCCGTCCCAGCTCCCTGCATCAACCCACGGTCTCTCTGGATAATCCCAGTGTTTGAGTCCAAAAGGGAGATGGAGACTCGAGGGTTCCTATGCAATCTGATGCAGCCCACTGCTAAGAAAAGAGGGACCCCCCGTCCCAATAGACTCCGCAGGACTAATCCATAACGAATCTGATCGTGGTGAGCTTTGATGTCAGTAATCCCAACCATTCCTTTGTTAAAATGATCTCGGCCGTATTCTAAAATGTGATAGACACTGGTGTGAAGTTCCTGTAATTGTCCACCTTTGCTGAGCCCAAAAATAAGACCTTTGAGACCTTTAGAATCAGTGTAGGAATCCAAAACTGGCAGAATGGCCCTTGCCACATATGCGTGCCCAATCTTGGCAATTGCTGGCTGAGGAATGACAACTCTGGTTTGAGAAGGGGTTCCAAAACCCTTGATCTTGTTACCCAAGTGGCCCCTGAATGTGACATCGTTCCAAAATTCGGGATCGCCTAAGCAGGCCTGTATACACCCCATGAGCCTTTGGGACCATCCCGAGGCTTTTACTACCGCCGTACAGGCGAACTCTGCGTCGATCTTACGGGGTGCCTTGATGTTGTCCAGCGCGTCTTCCAGCAGGGAGGGAATAATGGAGTCGTTGTAGAAGTTGAAGAAACCCAAAGAGCGAAGCCAGGCGATGTCCTCTTGCCGCTCCGATTCTGAGAGTCCCCACCTCTCGCTGTATTCTTCAGCCACCAGTGTGGTACAGCGGTCCACTTCAAAAATCTTGACTTGATCTACACAGAAACCCAATATGGGTAGGAGGGACTTGCGTGAGGCCCAGACCCGTTTTCCTTGGGAGGCGTTGAGCGCAACCTGAGCCAAATCGCGTTGAAGTTTAGTTATCTTGAGAGCTTTCAATAGGAGCTGACCCAAGGAGACCCTCGTGGCTTCATTAAGTTCGGAGTTGAACCGTGTCCTGAGACTCTTGACCCAAAATGGCTCTTCGGCAAATCTCCTAAAACTCCTTGGGAGAGCCTGAGTCGCTTCATAAACCTGGCCCAACATGTTTTCCCAGAAATCAAAGGAGAGGGTGATGTCCCTTGGGTCATGATACCTGACCACACATGAATCGGGCTGTTCTCCGTCATTTAAACGAATAAGTTCCGCTGATTCGGGAAACAGACCCTGGGCGATCTTCCTCACCTCCAAAATGTTTGTAGGAGTCCACAAGAGAGGTCTTCTCTTACGCACCTGCTGGTGAAAGGCCAGCACATCACAGCCCACAAGGGCATGGTCCCCTGGGACGCCCGCCCAGCGGGCGAAACAATCAAAAGTGAGGTCACTCCTGGCGAGGGCTATGTGATCGATCGTGCTGTTGGCTTGAGAGAGCGCCTGTTCACCATCAGGCTTCCTAGTGAATTGCATGGAGGTCTCTTGGAACCTGAGAGGGCACCAACGGAGATCGAGGCATGAACAAGCTTCACAGAACGATCGGAATTTCGGATCTCCGTTACCTTGATCGGCATTCATGTCCCCCAACCAAGAAAGAGTAGACCCCACGGGGCGGGATCGACCGAGTTGGATGGCACAGTTTAGAGAATCATGGAAAAAATCGTGGGCAAGATGAGAGAAGAGAAAGGATCTGGCATGATGGTGGCATCCATCGAGACAGTCGGGACGAAGATCAACACGGATAGATCTCCAATCGCAGACAATGTCTTTCACACGTTTTCTCAGAGATTTGTGCACAAGCACGCCCATGGCCCTACACCCAGGGCCAGAGTGATGGCGGTAGTAAGCGTGGCCATTGAAAACAGGGCGTAGTAGCCCATCGTTTTGAAGACAGCCCTTGAAATCCGCCTCTAAGATACAAATTAAGCCCCAGCACTTCAGCTCGAGCAAATCTAGGTTGGCTTGCATTTGAGTCTCGTCGGCCCATTTACCCTGCACATTGAGTGCACATACGAGACCCCTCACGTGAGCATCTCAGAGAGATAGTGCCTCGTCGATGGTGTCTTTGAGCGTCTTGCGGAGCGTTTCGTCGGGGATCTCCTTGAGAGACTCGTGCCACTGGAATTCCCCATCTTTGATAGCACCTATCTGACGGTCCAAGACGAAAAATTTTCGAGTCCGAGAACAAACCACGTAACTGTCCGTGCGATCTCCCATTGCCCTTTCCAGTGCTTCTGAAACGGTCTTGAACAATTTTGCTGGGCCACGCTCCTCCTTCGTACTAATCTGGCCACACCAGATCATATGTTCCAAGTGCCCAGGGATCTTGAGATCACGGATCGTAGCTGCTGCTTGAAGTCCCACCGCAATCGAACTCCATTTGATCTCAACACAACTCCCATACCCAAATGGTGCAACAATATGCGTGGGCTGGGGAACATCCGCTCGGCGAAGGACCGCCCGTGCCTTCTCCAGAGCCTCCTGCTTCTTGAGATTCCAGCCCAGGTTGGTGAGAATGAAAATGTCTCTATCTGCTCTTGGGGTGCTGGCCCACGGCGGACCCTTTTTCCTAGACGGACCCTGGCTTGACTGACTTTCTAACTGTTTGGCTGCCATTTCCGCGCGCAGGGACTTCTGCTCCAGTTCAACAGCCAGAATCCTTTCGTTGAAGGCTTTCTGCACCTCGGTTTCACCTGCCTCAAGGTTGGCAAGCTTTACTTCATGGTCATTGATCAAAGTGACGGCCACTGAGAATTCCTGAGCCATCGCCTTTTGAGTTCCCAATACATCAAGTTGTAACGAATCAATACGGTCCTTGATAGGAGCGATCTTTTTATCTAGGAGAGACTCGAGTTGCGCCAAAAACCCGTCGGCACCGGTGGCGGTCGAGGCAGCCCCCGATGGAATTGAACCATTTTCTTACCCTTAGCAGATCCCTTGCCGCCAAGGTTCTCATAGCTTTCGAGGCTTCTTGCTGATTTTCTTTGTCTTCGTCTACCGTCCGAGCTTCGTCTCTCAGTCTTTTCTGCTTATCGATATCCAACGATAAGAGCTTTTGCATGGTTTCTCCAATCTGCAATGTCGGCATGGCCAAAAGTGTTAAGCACGAGCCAGTTACCCAAAATTTGAGATGGAAATGCAACGCCGAATTGACAAAACCCAATAAGATTCACGAATTCGCCAAATTGAGTCGATATCCCACCGATAAAGGTGAAATCCCACTGATAGATCCCACTGATTGAACCCAAAGCCAGGCGATCTCGCTGAACAGGAAGAAGACGGAGAAAGCAGCGATGGCTGCCGCGCCCCCCCCCCCAAGAGCGCCCCGCTTGAGCGCCCTTGGCGCCTTGAGCCAAAACCGAAAGTCCACTGATATGGTGAAGCACCGCATTGTCAAACACGAGAATTGCGAGACTGGTTGATCGCAGGTGCCGTCAGCTTCATGTCCTCAACTCCGGCAAGCTGCATCGTATCAATCACCTTATTGGCCATGTGCTTCCAGAGTGTGATGTTAGCCCCGACTCGCCCTGACTGCCAGTGAGCTTCAGCTGGGGGCTTCTCGACGTGAACGTCGTGAGCCTCAAGATGTTCAACGAAAGCGGCCTGAAAAGCTCCGTCACGATCGCACACCACATGATCTGGATGCCGAGCCCAAGATAACCAAACCAAATTGAAAATCTCCAGCACCTGAGTAGGATCACGAGTCGGACAATGAACCACCACCATCAGTAAACCTGACATCTCCAAAATTCCCAAGAACTGATGTGTCGTAAGAGCAGACTCAGGTAGGTAAAAGAAATCCAAACCAACTCGAGCATTGAACGAACCCATATATGGAATCTTGGCGGGTCGTGGGCGTCGCGGTTTGACATCTCGTAAACATGAACTGCATCGCAGACGTCGGCTGAGATCGATCGCAACCTGGCTCGCTTCGCTCGCGTTCAGGAACCTCGTGAAATCAGCCTGCAGCGGGTGGCTCAAGTTCTGGCGCATCCTAGCAACGATGGGGGCGGCGCGCTTCTCCTCCGGCGTGAGCGGAGGTCCAGCGAACCAAATCTCGTCGCCAGCACGTTGTTGAACAGGCTGAGGCTGAAGTTCGTCTGGCTGTGGTTCGTCGGGTACTGGTACTGGCTGTCGTGATTCGCCTTCGACTGGTGGTCGAGGTGGTGCTGGTACTTCGCCAACTGGAGCACGTCCGATAATGAACAACCCGTATCGTACTGGGTCTTGAAATCGTTCTCGTGGTGCGTAGGCCTCTGGGACGTACTCATGCTCGACGATGATGCGATTATCTTCGAGTAGAGGAACGGAACATCTATGAACGTCTGGACCATGCTCAGGTTTAAGACGCTTCGCCTTCGGCTGGAAGGCGGCCTGCATGTACAAGATCTGCCAGGGAACCAACTCGGACACCTGCCTCCACATCTCTGGGTCCTGCGCCACCTGAGCTGAGGGGGCGTTCCTTCGACTCATGACATCGACGACCGATTGCATGATGTTCTTCCACTTTGTTTCGTCCACGTCGGGAGCCGAACAGCAGACGCGGTGCACAGTAGGGGCTGGAGCGTCGTAGGAGACGGGGTGATAAATGCACAGGTAGATACCGTGTCCGAACTCCTCGATCGCGATGACCCTGGTGAGACCTCGGCAGATGGCGCCGGCTAGCTGCCAGGTGTAGACCTGCGAGAGCTTGGTGTTGCCATTAGGTCCACCTCCTTGCACTTCTTCATGTGGATGGCTGTGGTCGCAGTGTCGGTCGAGCTCTTGAATGAGAAGTGGATGCGTACCCAACCAACGAACCAACTTCTTCATGGGGAGTCCCTGGTTGCCGACCATGCCGAACATGCACATATTAGAGGTGCACTCGTAGTTGTCCTGCCTGAGCTTGACGATTGCCTCCTCGCGCCACGAGTCGGCAGTAGCGGGATTCTCAAGCAGGGCGTGGTTGCCGTAGTCCTTCTGCTTGTCGAAGATGTCCCTCGTGAAGGTGATGAAGCACCGCCCCTCATCGCGTAGGTCCTCCAGCACCTCGGGCATCTCCTTGTAGTTGACGTTGCGGTTGAGCAGCGACCAGAGTGTACACGGAAGCTGGATGATGACCAAGCGCGGCCGCCACCTGTCGATCGTATCGAACACTTCCTTCCTGGCCTTCTGCTTCTTTAAGTCCTGACCGAACAGCTTGTCCACCGGTTGTAGAGCTCGCATGCCCCAGCCGTTGGCGCGGTCGGTGGCATGCAGGGTGATGCCGCACTCGCCCGCGAAGATCTCGTAGATGTCGAAGCCGCGTCGCTGGCGTCGTGGAAAACGGCTCTTCTGCATTCGTCTCTCATAGACGCGCTTCTCGAGCTGCAAGTTGTTGTAGGCGGACTTGGCCATGCCGTAGTACCTCTTCGCCTGACCTGTCGTTAATTGGCTTCCGCCTGAGGTGGTCGCTCCCAGCTCGAGTCCTGCTCCTCGTCCATCGCCTCCGCGCTTGGTGACCTCCTCCTTCGTAGACTCGATGATCTTCGCGTCGCATGTGGGCGCCCAGGCCGTGCTGATGGAGGTAAGCGCTGAGCCGACGAGGAAGGCGGCGCGCATGAACTGCTTGCCGATGGATTGATGCGATCGATCTTTGCGCCTGGAGTCTTTCGCGTCCCGTGGAGATTCCAAAAGATCACATCCGTCGTCCTGATCTGGTACTTCTCGCCCTTCCAGACCGTCCCACAATAGAGGCACTCCTTGAACCTCCCGGCTGGAACTGTGTACTCGTGCTCCCCGTTGGTAGGATGGCAGCACGTCTTGTTCAGATCTGGGTAGCATGACATCCTCGTCCGTGATCCTGTCCTGGTATCGGGAATGAAGCTGTCCACGGTCTTGTCCTGACACAGAATCTGCATCGCTGGAAACTGTCTGCTGAGAAAGCCGTCGATCACTTTGTACCTTTGATTCCTGTCGAACATTCTGATGACCACAAACACTGCCCGAATGAGAATCGCCCATCGTGCCCGCAGGTCTTCGGTGGTGACCTTGGGAGTCCGTGGCACACACGGTCTCTGGATATGGAGAATGGAGATCGTTCGAGGCTGTCCTCATAGAATGACTTGGCGCCGAAATGGCTCTGGTATCGATCGTGTAGTTTGCTTCGGCTGAGAACGGAACATGTCGATGGATCTCCGTGTCACTGTTTCGTTCCCCATCGTCATTCTCCTGGCGTATTCTCGTAGATCGCCCCGGACCCGGGCCCCAATCGTGATCTCGGAAATACTCATAGAACTTGTCGATCGAATCGGGGACGCTTCGACGTAGCTGAGGTACTGCTCGATCGGGTTCGGGCTTGCGGTGTCGTGGTTCTCGGTGCTGTCGTTCGACTCGGTCGGAATAAGGTACGTCGTGGTGTTCTCGGTCGGCTCGATCGGAATGATGTACTTCGTGTTGGTCTCGGTTGTCTCGATCGGTGACGTGAGCTGACCGACGATCGCAGAGAGATAGTGAGATGTGATTCGACTCTCGCAGGCTGCGCTCGCACACCGAAACTGTATATGTATCAATCGCAAAGCCTGCGTCGACTGGAAAACCTGTAACTGGCCAGTCGTCGATCCGAACTGCGAGATGTCCACTCTTAGACATCACAACCTGTACGTTCGGAAGCTGAGCGGCCAGAAAATGGACTCGAGAACCAGCGAGGTCGATCACACAACCAAGATCTGTCATCACGTCTCTTCCGCCCAGGAAAGGTAACCGAACCGTCGCCACGTCATCAATCGTTGAAGTGTGCAAAACCATCGCACGTCCGTGAACTCCGACTGGTATTGACCAACGTTCTGTACTCGTCATCGGCTCGCCAGGACCGAAGCGATACTGTTCACGCTCGGGTTGAGAGCATACCTGTAGACCCTGTCGGTCTAGATAACGTTCTTGAAATAGTCGAAGCCCTCGTAGTCCAGCGACCGTCGTCTGGCACGCAGTGTCGAGCACCAGAAGGTTGGCGTCGCTGTCGATGTTCACCGTGCTGAAAACGTCCTTCACCATCGTCATTATGTAGATCGAGCGCTCCTTGTGGAAGCTCTTCGTATTGAGCCTCGGCCTCTGGCCACCGTTACCGTACGTCATCATGAGATGTCGTGCGTGATCGGGCTCTTGATGTTGTGTACTTGTCTCGTGAAGTCCGTATTCTCGGACAGCACCCTGACGTCGTGAACCGGCAACCTGAGGCGGCGTCGCACCGAGTGTCTCGTGGATATTGTTGGTCGCCGCTAGGACCTGATGTACATACTCAGATTCACAAGCTGTGGGTAATCTGTTCGCACTGTAACCGTGTCTCGTCGAAGCCGAAGATGCGCCTGAAGTCGTTCGTCCATCTTGACCGTGTTCGTGTTGGGCAGGCTGCTGATGGGCACGTGGCCACCAGGCGTCGGAAGACTGCGATGCTTCGTTCGCCCTCCGTGTAGCCGTCGTACCTGTTGATGTTCTCTTGGAGGCTGGCGCTCGGCACTGGCGGTCACCTGCCCAATGGCCGATCTCGCCACAAGCCGAGCAGTTCGTCACCTTCTCGAGGTCCTCCAACGACATGCCACGTCGTGCCTTGCCTCCGTCATTGCCCTTGCCCTTGCCGGAACGGTTCGGCTGGTAGCCCTTGCCGTGCTTACCTTTGCCCTTGCTGCCCTTCGTGTTGTAGTAACCTCGTGCTCTGTTGGCCTGATTGAGACGATCATGAGCCTGCTTGAACGTAACGTGAGCAGCGTGGATCTCTCTGGCCAACGCCTCGGGCAGCTGCTCGTCCCAGAAGTCGCCGGAATCTTCCTCCCAGCTGTTGTCGTACGAGTCATCGTGTCCAAAATCTGCGTCGGTCACCTGCCAATCCTCATGATCATGCTGGTAGTCGGGCTCGGTGACCTCCCTCTCGTACGTATCCTGGTTCGTAACGTGAGCACTATACTGAAGTCTGCACTTGCGATCTCCTTGAAACCTGTTGCGCGGCACCAGCGGCATGGGAAATAAAATAGCCGCTTGTTCCTTCAGAGGTTTCCATTCGAACGTCGAACCTGCTGCCATCAATAATGTGGCCTGCGTCTTGTGGTTCAGCTGCGAACTCTTCATGAACTGCCTAATGATGATTGGATCTGGGATGGCCAAATCTACCGACTTTGCCTGGAGCACTGCCTTGTCCACTCGAGTGGCGAGCTGGAGTAAAGTCTCGCCTGGCTTAACGTGCTCCATGTGAAAGAAATCGTCCATTGCGGCGCCTATCTTGACCGTCGGGCGTTGATCGAAATAGGCCAACCTGTCGAGTAAGAGCTCCACACCGTTTGGAACTGCGAAAACTGCCGGGCTCTCGTCCTCTACGTGGTCGAAAGCTTTGTCTCTGAGCGCTGCGTACAGTCTTGGTGCCATCTCCTCGGGGCCGATGATGTTCTTCGCAATCAAAACCCAGTTCTCGACCTGCGCCTTGTAGCGTCTGAATATCTTGGGATCCTCCATGTCACCGTCGAACTCCGGAGGCGGCGGTAGGTTACCGCGAGGTCTGGAGCGAGGATCGTCGTGTGGATCACGTCCTTTTCCTCGCTTGCCTCCTTTGGCCGAGAACTCTCCATCATCGTCGTCAATGCCCTCATCTGCAGCAGCGCGGCCACCAGCTGGTGGCGCGTTGGGAGGCGTGCTCCTCCTCGACATGGCGGCACTTGTCCGTAGGAAAGTTGCTCTGCGCTACCAATTCAATAATATCAACTCGAAACAAGAGTTTCTCGGAGCGTGGTCCGATGCACAGGACCTTTGGGATCTCTGGAGTGTGGGCTCTGCGAGCCTCGAAACCTTTCTCGCTCGGATGCGCACAAGCGGGCGCTGTCGCCAAACAGCCCAAGGGCCCTCCGAAGCCCAGACGGCAGCGGAGGCAGCGGGTGAGAGGGAGCGAACGGGAGCAGGCACGGGCAACCAGTGCACATGAGACGTTAGAGAGGTGATTGGGGCAATGATAAACGTGAGCGATATTGCAGCCACACAATCCACGAGAGCCTCTACACTTGGCTTCGAGGGAGGCGGCATCCGAAAAATTGCACAGAAGAGTCGCCCCAGTTCTCCACTTCGCACCGTATCTACAGTAGTCTACTTCAACTCTGAAAACATGATAACAACAATAATAATAATAATCGTACTAATAATACTTATATCCTGGAAGCGGCGGATGCCTGCCACATGCCAAAGGATACTAGCGCGCGGGCTCTCTAACACCGCGCGGACGCTGTGTCGATGGCAACGCCGGAGCAGGCGAATGACAAGGCGCGCGAGCGCATTCGACTCGGTAACCTTCTGGGAATCCTTGGGCGAGAGGCCAGGCAGGCCCAGGGGGCACAATGTCGATCTGACAGGCTCTGGACTGGCGCCTCCAGCACGCGCGCGACTGTAGGTTTGGCAAGGCAGCCCAACCCAGACGAATCGGATCTGTCCAGATCGAACCAGCTCGAGGATATGCCCCTGCACGCCCGACTTTGAGACAGAGCCGGGCCCATCCAAGATCCCACAGACCAAGGCGGACAGCCCGCGCGTCGCCAGAGCCCCGCTGACGCCCGCCGCGCCGGCGAAGACCTCTACGGCGGCAGGCTTCGCTTGCGTGGCGGAAGCGGGGCGCTGGACGGCAACCCCAGAAGCCTTTCCTCGAGGCTCGCGCGCGCCAGCCGCGCGGAAGCGAGCAGGCGGGGCGGCGTGGTCTGCATCGCCTTCTGCGCCCGCCCACTCTTCCTGTACCTGCGCAGACCTGGCGCGCGTCTCCCAGGTGCCCCTCTCGCAGGTCTCCTCGAGGGTCCGACGCCCGAGCAAGATGTCCCTCGCGGCGCCTCCGCGCCGCGCCGAGCCTAGCGCGTCGCCAATTTGACAGCCTCGAGCCCGACGTCGACGCACGCCTGGCCGAAGTGCTTCTTATAGAGCCGCATGCCGATGGGAAGCAGCATTTCGTCGGTCGACCTTCGACCCGTGAGCGCCCTCACCAGGCAGGCGGTGTTGATGCCGAAATTGCCGAAGATGATCGCGTCGTCTTGGGCGGTTCGCGCCCCCCGCCGCCACCGGGGTCAGCGCGTCGCCGGCCCTCGCCGACGTCAGCGCCCCAGGGCGCATGCATGCGTCGAAGGAGGTCACCGGCGCGGTCGCCGCCTGCGCGATGCCCCGCCAGTGCGCGGCGGCCGCCAGCGCCGCGCACCACTCCCAGGGAAGGGGATGGCGGCTGGCTAGCGGCGCCGCCTTCCGGAAGCCCCTCAAGGCCCGGCGGAGGCGAGGGGAGCCCCCTCGGCCGAGGTTGGCCACGCCCGCGCGGCAGAAGAGCACGGCCCCGAGCAACGTGCACCCGACGTTGCAGCGGTCCCCCTCCAGGAACCGGAAGTCGAGATACTCCACTGCGGCCACGTCCACGTCGGCGGGTGTTGTCGTGGCCAGGCGCTCCTGCGTGGCAAACTCCATGCACGAATCGAAGATCACCCTGTAGCGCTTCTGCGCGGCCTTGCCCACGGACCGACTGCCCAGCAAGCCCAGACCCCCGCCCCGAGCCCTCAGAGGAGCAGGGTCGAGGCTGGCGAGGGCCCGCTTCGACCTCGCGGAGGCCCGCCGAGCTCGCGGCCTCTCGCCCCGACTCAGCCCCGGCGCGGACCTCTCGGTCGGCGGCGCCGGCGTCAGCCGGCGGCTCTCGGGCCCAGCGGCCGCGGTCCACGCGGGCCCAGCGGCCCGCGCTTCGAGCCGCTGGCCCGACGTCAGCGGCGCGGCGGCGCCCTCCATCGGCGGCTGGGACAGCCAGGGAGCCTGCCTGTCCGAGAGGAGGCTCTGCACCCAGCTGCGAGGGGGCGTCTCCGCCCCGCCGACGGGGAGCGGCGCCGACGACGGCGCCGCTCGGGCAGCGCGCTGGGCGAGGCGGGGGGCCTCGCGAGCGGCCCCCGCCTCCACCGCCGCCGCCCGAGAGGGCCTGCCCGCTGGCAACCCGCGCTCGGATCTGGACGAGCCGAGCCTCATCGGCGACATCAGCCGCGGTCACCAAACGGCGGGGCGGCTCATCGGCGCGGCTGGACTCTGACGGGGCCCATCTCCAGCGCGCGCCCGTCCGCCGCGAGAGACGCCGCCGCGAGCTGACGACAAATCTGGAGCAAGCCATCATCGGCGGCGCGACCCCTGGAAAAGGCGAGCACCGCAGCCGTGCTATCTGAGAAGCCGAGCATCCGACATCCGTGGGACTTGGCGGTTCTCACTCTCGCACGAACGGCGGCGAGACCACCCCGCGCCTCCAGGATGCGAATTACAACCCTGCGTTCCCACGGGGCAGCAACAATGGTTATCCACCGATCCCTAGACAGCACCTGCTGAGAGACGTTGGGAAGGCCTCCTGAGGGCCCCACGCCCGCCGAGCAGGCTCGCCGCGCGGCTTCACCGGGGCAGGGTCGCTAAAGGGGTCGGCGGCTCGCAAGGCGTCTGCGCTAGGACCTTCCCCTCTCTCGAACTCCAAACGAAGCCTCCAGCGCCCGCTGTGGGCGCCCTCGGATTCCAGTTCGTCTGTCGCGAGCGTCGCCTCACAGACGCCGTAACTGGATGGGCTCAAGTCGGTCTCGTAACAGAGGGGGCCCAAGAGAGCCCGCAGATTCGAGGAACACAGCGGTGACAGACAGCCCAGGGCCCAGCGCTCTCGAGCCGCGCTCGGCCAGAGGCGACCTCGGGAGTTATAACGCTTGCGAACAATCCGCAACTAGAGCTCGACGCCGAAAGGATCTCTCGCCGAGCTAGAAGTTGGAAGGCGACGCGCCCGAGGAGGCGCACCAATTGTCGCCCAGACGCGACCGAGCGACGGGCGCGCGCGAAGAAGGCCGCGCGGAGACGCCGCTGCCTCTCGGGGGGCCCACCAAAGTGCCGTCGAGCCCCGTCGAGGAGGAATCCCTGACTTTGAGCCCACTGGGCCGCCTCCTCCTCTAAAGCCTAGCTGGCGACAGTGTTCGGCGACGCGCTCCCTGGCGCGATTCGCTCTTTGGGGGCAGGTCGCGGCGACGGTGAGATTGTCGCAGTAGGGGGGGGGGGCGAGGGCGGAGGAGCCGCGAAGAGGAGGGGCGGGGGCGCGATCGAGCAGGATGCAAACTGGCGGCAGATCCAGCGCGCGCCCTACCTCAGTCGAATGAGCGAGCTGGGCAAAACAAATCCAGCTCCACCACGTGGGCAGCGCGCGGAGAGCCGGGTACCAGGGGCCGCGAGGACTCCCGGGGCCCGGGAAAACGGGCAGCAGAACGAGGTTTCAAAAAAGCTGAAATCGACGGCATCAAGGCTGAAATATCTACTGAGCTCCGGGAGGATACCACAACAATAACAATAATCCGTGACATCTAGAGAACGAAAACCAGGCCTGCTCCCCATCGACGTCCGCCCACGCGGCTCTGGCGCCCATCGGGAGGTGGGGGGTGGGGCGGAAGCGCCGTTTAGTGGCGCGACAATCGATCGCCAGACGCTGACGGCCATTTTTCTCGCGAGCAGCAAAGGCCCCCACCTTACAGGCAGGCTTCGAAACACAAGCAAGCAAACCCGCCCCACGCATCTTGGCCATCCGGTTTTTAAAATGCTTGGACCCACCCCGAAGCTTCGGATCAGAGTGGACAAACATGCGCCTGTGTCTCACGCGCGGCCCCCCGCATAGGCTGCGGCAAGAACGCCTGCTCCTTGACAGGCGGCGCCCACTTGTCGCTCATGAGGGCATGCCAGTCGCGCCCACCGAGGAGCATCCGGGCATCGCGTCCATCGGGACAGCCAGACGCAGCGGCCGCCCCATGAAGACCGAGGCGGGGATCCGCAGCAAGGCAGCGTGCAGCCTTCCAAGGGCGGCTGGGGAAGACGGAGCCCAGGCTAACAGCCCACCGTCCGGCAGGAGTTGTTGCATCTCCTCCGCCGTGAGTTGCCCCTTGCCCAAGCGGCTCTGCAATCTCTGGCCACCGCCAGCGGGAGTAGCGGGGGGGTGGAAACGACCTCGGCCGACAAGTCCGACACCGCCGACAGCTGCACAACGACACGTTCGCCCTGGGAGGCGGCTGTGGCGAGCAGGAAGGAAAGGCCTGGCTCAGCCATTTCGCGCCACTGGCCCACTCCGCCACCCTTTTCCCGCCGACGCCGCTGGAGCACAATGGGGAGCTGCTCCAAGCATTGGTGATGAGCCGCCTCGAGGCGCCCCGAGACCAGATTGGCAGCCTCCACCGCTTCCTCGCTCCATCCGGGCAGGCGAATGATTGCCAAGAGGGCGCGTGCTCGCTGCCAGCGGCGGTCGATGTCGGTGATCATCGGCGCCGGACCCTCCCAAGCTAGAAGTCCCAGGCGCGTCCAACGGTCATCTGTGTCCACCCTGCAAATCAATAGCCCGAGCATGCTTTGGACGTGCCCCCACGTCGACGGCATAACCGCCAGTACTGGGCCGAGGACCTCTATCCCAGCAGTTCGGGTGGCCTCAGTCATGTAGGCGTTGGCCGCGTGCTCGTCGGCCAGGAGCTCGTGCAGGGCCCTGGCCTGCAGGGCCGCAAATCCCGTCGACGTAGATGAGGTTGTAGGGGAGATGGAAGACCCTGGTGGCGGAGCTGCGGTGTCGTCGCCGATCTGCATGTTGTGCAGCGCCTGCGACAAGCCAGAGATTCCCTCTGCGTCGGCGCCGTCGGCAGGGGCGCCAGGCGCCGGGGCAGCCAGCCCTGGTGGGACGGCTGGCGGGGCTGCGGTCGCCTCGATCGCCTGCGCCAGGCGGAATACTGTCCTGGCCACCGGCGCGGCGCCGACGGCCCAAGCGGTCGCGGCTGCGCTGGTGGCAGCCGCAGCGCGCGCGGCCCAGAGGGCGGCATCAGGAACCACCAGAGCGTTCACGTCGAGGCACATGGCGCAGCATCCGGCCATCGCAGCGGGCGGGAGGCACGATGTGATACGTCGATTGCACCAGCTGGGCTTGAGCCAAGACTAACAAGACGCATAATACTAAGGAATACTGATAATAATAATTTGCCGATTGCTAAAAATAAAATGTGGCTCAATCGTGATAAGACGAGCAAGACTAACAACGATACGAATAACAATGATAAGCATTCTAGTAATAATTATATCATAACAATAAGAACAACCATAAGCCACATATACTAAGAACAATAAAACAAACCCACAGCATAATACCAGCAATAGTATCATCACGAATAATAATAATAATACGAATAATAATAGTAATACTAATAATAATAACAACAATAATAGTAACAATACTAATACGAAAAATGATACGACTAGTAATAAGAATAATGTTACAAAGTAATGAAATAACGAAAATAATCATAATCATGATGCTGAAATTAATGAATATCATAAAACTACAACTTGCAATACAAAGAATAATGATACCGATACTCACAATAATAATAAGAAGAGGATGATGATGAAGAGGCCATGGGATCTGCGAGATTTCGTGGCCCTGGCCATGACATCCACACCCCTCCACGCCCCCGAAAGCAAGGGGGGCGCGCCGAGGGATGAAAGGCAACGTAAGCAGCTGGCTCAGGGAGGAAACATGGACCTGGCATCGGAGAGACATCGCCGATAGATCGGCGATGGGCCCCCAATGGCAAATCCGCACGTTCCCAGGTGGGGTGGGCCCCATCGCGCCCCTACCGGCGATCAATGGGCGATTGGGAATCGATGCATCCCCCCCTGAGCCGATTCCCCCCTGCCGCCCCTGAAAGGAGCCACGCCCAAGGGAGCCTCGCCGCCGCGAAGGGGACCGCGCCCCTGCAGGAGCGGCGAGGCGAGGGCCAGCAGGAGGAGGAGAGAGGCAGGAGGAACGCTGGAGGAGGCGGTAAGAGCGAGTGAGCATGCAGCAGCGCAGTCGAAGGCACGATAGCACCGAGCATAGGAAGCGTGAAAGGCGGGCTCGATCAAGCACCGAGCCCGAAACATATGGATGTCAGCGCCCTGGGCCTTAAGGGGTTACAAGTGTCAGGGCGCTGAGGCAGAGGGAGTGAGGGCCGAATCCGAGTCCGAAGGCGGAGAGGGGGGAGGGGGATCATGTCACAGAAGCGTTCGCGTTCGTCGTCAGTGCCCTCCCGGTAGATCTCCACTTTCCTACTTTATAGTCGATGCTGTCCTCGGGCTCCTCCACTTGCACGGCACCCTGGGCGCTCGCGGTGGCGGGAGAGGGGTCGCCGGTTGCCGCTTCCTCGGGCGGGTCGCCAGCGGTATCGACGGCCATGCCGTCCTGGTCGCCGTTTCTGGCTTTGTCCACCAGCCCGAAGAGGAAATCGCAGAGGACAGACGAGTAGTACTTCCAGGGGTCGTGGAGGCCAGTGCGGCGCTGGCGCGCGCGAGCCTTCAAGTGCGCGTCCCACGCAGAATGGTAGGGGCGGTTAAGGCGACGTTCTGAGGCGGGCTCGCAACCGGTTGCAGCCATAGGCACCCGCCAGGAGGCAAGCAGGGCGTCGAAGTCGCTAGCGGGGAGCAGGGCCACAACACGCAGACGCTCGGCTCCTGTGAGGTCAAGAAGCTGGTAGAGCGATACGCGTGCATCTCCGTCCAGGAGCAGCCACTCGCAAATGGCGATGAAGCGCTTGAGCGTGACACGTTCCAGCTCGGATGGATCCATGGTCCATGGCTGCCTCGGTGGGAGCAGTGTGAAAAGATACATAAGGCCAGCGCCAAAGCAGCTAGAGCCAAAATGACGGCACAACGTTCGTGCCAAATCCAAGGCCCACTCCCTGCCTTCCCGACACCCGTCCGGATCGGCGGAGCCCACGGGCTCTGTAAAGTCGACGCCACTTCGTTGTTCCCCTCCACCCCACCCCCCCACACGCACTGAGCTGCCACTGCAAGATCTATCCCCCTCCACAATTATACCATATGAATACTTCTCTCCTCTCTCCCCCGAGGGCATCCTAAGAGTGGCACGCCCCCCTCCAAGTATTTTTGCACACAAGAGTGGTACGACGTCGTTTTTGTTTCATGCGTTGTTTCAATCATGACGCTGTCGGTTCTTCCAACATGACGTTCCCGCTGCAATGTGGGCCTCAATTTAGGATCGGAATTGTGCTCAGGTCGTTCAGAAATACGCCGCTTTTGCCCCAGCGCGGGCCCCTTTTCTGGATCCGAGTCGTTCCTCATCGTTGTCTCCCCGCTCCTTTCTCCTCCTTCGCTTTCCCCTGGTCCTCCTGCTCTTCCCGCTCCTCCCGCTCCTGCTACTGCTGCTGTTGTTGTTCCTCCTCGTGCTCCTCTTCCTACTGCTCATTTTCCTCCTCCTCCTCATCCTCCTGCTCCTCCAATGTACACAGCTCCCCTGTTCTGATTGCGTATAACACGATGGGGTCTTTACTTGTGTTCCAGGTCCGCTATGATTAGTGTCGGCGGATGGAGAACATATCAGCGCAACGGGAAGTGATGGGCGGGAGGGGTAGGAAGTCAGATATGGCGAGAGCGCACCCAGCTTGTCCTCCCTTCCCTCTCCAACTCATGATCGTCTAGGGGTGCGGGCAGGGGGAGAAAGAAACCGATGCGCGCGACGGGGGCCCCCGCTGGTCCTTCACGCCGGCGTAGGCCACGGTGCCGATGGGGCTGAACAAGTCCTCGAGGGCCGATTACCATCAATGTCGCTTCCCTTCGACATACGGTGAAAGGGTTTCGTTTAGCGTCTTTCCTGCGAAAGCAAGCTAAACACGCTAAACAAAAGACGGCATAACTAACGTGTACAATCGCTGGTGGCGTTTAGGGTGTACCCATCTTCGTGTTACCATGTCGTTTAGCTTGTACCCACGCTCCGTGACACCCTCCTTCCCTCCTCCCATCCTGGACCTCCTTGCGAGAATAGAACGTAAGGTTTTGTGGAAGGCGAGGCGTGCTTGTGTGCCCTTCCTCTTCTCCTCCTCCGTCTCTTCTTTCTCCTCCGTAGCCTCTGTGGTTTTAGGTTTTTCCCCTGGGCCTCAGAGGGGCCCGCGTTCGGTGCCCTCGCGCGCGCTGGCGGCCCGGGGGCCTGACAGGGGGCGCCGCCCGCGGGCCCGGTGCTGAGGTTGCGGCTGCGCTGTGTGCGCACGGCCGAGGCGGGTGCCGAGTCCGGCGCCAAGATCTGGGCCCGCCGGCCCGAGGGGCCCCCAGCGGGCTCCTTCGCCGGAGGCAGGGCTGCCTGCGCGGAGGACGCGCGCGGGCGGCTTGCGCCGAGGAGGCGCCAGCATCGGCGTGCTGGCGTGGCGCCAGCCTGCCACCGCGTCGGAGGCTTGCGGCTCGGTCGGCTGGCGCTCAGGCGCACCGGCGCCGCGCTGGAGGCCGCTCAGGCCTGGCGCCAAGACTGCATTCGAGGGCCTGGCGGGACCGCGCGCCGGAGGCTAGCGGCCCGGCGCAGGAGGAGGCGCGCTGCTCAGCGTCCGCGCCGCACGGCGCCGGCGGGGCGGCGCGAGGCGGGATCGCCTGCCAGCGCTTGAGGGGCCAGCTGCAGAGGATGGTGCCGTCGGTGTTCCTCGGGGTGGTGGCCGCGGCCGGGCTGCACAGGCTGTGGGCCCAACAGCAGCAGCGCTGTGGCTCACGCCAGTGGTGCCGCCAGCTTCGGGTTTCGAGGGCTACACTGGAATGTGCGTGGGGTCATGCGCCAGCGCTACGCCCGAGGCGGACCCGCAGGAGCTGGAAGCGCTCGATGATCGCCAGCGAGCTGCAGCAGGGCGCCGCCCGTGCAGGTGCCGCAGGAGGGCAAGGGGTGGGCGCCGCCAGTCAGGGCGAAGTCTGGCAAGGCGCCGTCGGCGGGTGCGCAGCCACCTCCGCCTAGGGCCAAGAGGGGGCGCCAGTCGTCGTCCGCGCCCCTTGAGGCGAAGCCGCCGACAGTGTGGGGAGAAGCTGGCGGCCAGGAGCGCGAGAAGCGGCTGGCCAGGGACGGCAGGATCACCAAGCGGAGGCCTGCGGCGATTCGGGGTCGCTCGCCACCACAGCACGAGGAACCGCCCACGGGCGCCGAGGAAGGAGAGGTCATGCACGTATCCACGGTCGCCACTCAGGGGCGGAGATCGCAGCTGCAGGCGGGGACTACCGCACAGGGGCCGGGGTCAACCACACAAGCGCTGAGCGGATTATAAGCGTCCCCTTGGAGGAGGAGCGCGTTGCGCCGCCTTGGTGACCGAGGGAGAGGCCGACCCCGGGCCCAATGCGAAACCCCACGTGCGCATCATGCAGCAAGTGGTCGGGCTTTTGCATTGCTTTGTGTTGCGTTGTTTCGCATTGCTGGGTTTTCCATTGCTTTGCATTGTGCTTTGTCGCTTTGAACGGACGGGCGAGTGGCTAGCCGTGATGACGCGCGAGAGAGTCCCACGCATGCCAAGGTTCGCCCCGAACAGGCGGATATTATTGTGGCGGCAGAGGGGATGACCTGCGGGGCGGCGGTCCCGATAACCCAGGCGGAGATCGTCGAGGTGCCAACTATTGTGGGCCACTCGCGGGACAAACACACGGGGTCGGAGCAACACGTCGGCATCCACGTGCCCTACGGACACGAGGAAAAAGTCGTCCACGCGCCCATGGTCAACTCGCAGGAGCTCGCCATCCACCAAAGGGTTGGGCAGGTCGTCGAGTTTACGATCTCCGGGCTGCAAATGGAGGAGATTGAGCAGGAGACAGGAGCCGGCCCCGACGACCCAGGAGCCCAGGAGGAGGAGATCGCGCTTGTGCCGACAGTCGTGCAGCCAGAGCGCTTGCGCTGGGAATACGTAGGCCAAGTGACCGACGTGCCGGCATTGCTCTTGCCTCGGCAGACCGCGCCGTCTCTGCCTCTGCCGTGCCGACAGCTGCACTGACGAGGTCCCCGACGGCTGCGCCGACGGCCGTGCCGACAGCGGCACAGCTGAGTTCTCCAACTCCTACGCCGACGGCTGTGCCGACACCATCGCCGTCGTGGGCCCCGTGCTAGCGCAGCTGGATGCGTGGAGGCTGATTGGGCCCTGGTACAGCCCTTTCGTACACCTCAGGGCCAACATTAACAAGGTTGCGGAAGGCTGCGCCGACACGGGCATCGTTCATATCGTCAACTGCGCCAAGGCCAACGAAGACCCGTACGCCTACGCCTACGACGACACCCACTCCGACACCACTTCAGAGGCTTCCGATGCCGTGCCCAAACTAGAGGCGAGGTCGGCCCCAACTTTGGGACTCGTCAGCACCAGCTCCAGCACCAGCGATCCTGGAGACGAGCCACGGCGACCACCAGCAGCAGAAGACGGACGAGGCCGACGAGTGCTACAGGGGCACCGACACCAACGGCGAGGCCTACGCAGGCAGCTGCACCAGCGCTCTCGCCAGCACCCTTGCCAGCATCAACATCGGCAGAATCGCATCCACCGCCAACGATGCCCGCGTCGAAATTGACGCCGATGCCGACACCAATTGGAATGCCCTCACCACCAAGGAGCTGGAATGGGGTCTGGGGATGTCTTGGGCTCTCAACGTGGCTGCTGATCCGGTCGCTCGCCACCTGCTCGGCATGGCGCAGGTGGGTCGGAGGTCGATGCCGCCCATCGGGCGTTGGTCTGGTGCGCGGGCAGCCGCCGCTGGACGACGCTGGACTGGCGCGACGCGCTGGAGAAAATACGGGGCCAACATTGCCAGTGGGAGGCAGACG